TTTTAGACAAAGTATCATGCTATAAAGTTTTAATAAACTGAATTAGTGTATAGAAAAAAAATAAGTTAAAGTAGGAAAGTGCAAAAGACCATTGCATTCACTAAAGAAAAAAAAGACTCCTGATGTCGTTATTACAAGATCAGGTTATCATAATTACGAGATAAAATGTCACAATTATGAGAAAACATGTCATACTGTGGGAAAGCTATGTCCTTTAAATGGGCATTTCTTTCAGTAACACACTTCAAGTGTTATGAGTAATACACTATACGTAGCTGTCTCTATTAAATCATACTCAATCTTGAGATTTGTCTGGCATAAAGTTGTTTCAGTGCATAACAATTCAAATCMTGCTTGAACTTCATTAACAAAAAAWATATAGTCTATTTTCAATGTCAGTGGCAGGCTGGATAAAGATCAACAGCATATTGATCGTGGTATAAACAAGTTGTATCTGTTTATCTAAAAGGAGTCAGCAACAACCGGCTGTGTGGAGGCTTCCTGAAGTACCAACCTATTTTCATCCATCCATCCTTGTTCTTGACTCACTTTGTCCTGTTATTGATTGGAGGGGAGGTACGGAAGCCAAGTACACCCTGGAGAAGTCACCAGCCGGCTTCTGTTTTGAAGGGGAATATTTAAACTATAATCCCTGTTGATTTCAAATTAAAGGCCAAATAGTTGTTTTATGTGAGTTGATGCAAGACTAAATGGGATTAAACCCTTTACTTTGCAATCATACAGRAAAGTAGATGACAAAAATAAGTTAGAAGTTAAACTTTAAATTAAGAAAGTAACTGAAAAGACATAAATTATGTGTTTGTGTCAACACAAACAGCATTTTGTGGGAAAGTAAGACTATAGATGACAAAAGCAATTGAACCCACAACAAAATCTGACTTTCTAAAGTAGACTATCGCAAATGGTAACATGCTGTGCAGTGATGACGTGGTGTTGAAGCAGTGCATGCTGGTCGGTAATCCTGTCTGACTTGCCAGCACTGGAGAACATCGCTTTGTCGTATCATTAAAGCCTTGTGAGATTGAGGCGGCTGTAGGAGTGAAGATAAGACGCTGCAGCTGCTTTCCACACTTGAAATCGACCTTTATGATGAGGCAACTCTGCCTGGACTAACTGTAACACGTMCAAATAACATTTCAAGAACTGACACAAATTATCAATCTGGGGCATTTTTGTAGCGATATAAACTAAGACTTTAATAGCGAATGAAAGTTAAAAGGAGACATACCCTGCTTTTAAATCCTTTTTCGCATTTAAATCATTTATTTGGGGCCTATATAAAGTGGAACTGCAATGCTTTAGTCTGAATTCATCCTTATTGTAACTCCACAAGCCCCTATTTCACCCCTTTTCTGAGGTGTGTCTCAGATCAACTCATTTTGACGCTGTCTCTTTAAATCCAAATGAGGCGCTTCACACCCCGCYCCCCTCCAGCTTCCAGAGTGATCCATTCTAGTTTGTTAGAGGGGTTCATAACTATATAGCAGCACATTTTTTATTTACAAATTAATTAAAAGATGTCAATAACAGAAGACGTCCTTGTTTTCACTAAATGCAATCAGTTTTTGGATTGGAGGGGAGGAATGAAAGAAAACTGTAAAATTTTACATTTTGGACTGTAAAGATTTTAAAGGTTGTCTGAGGTTTACTTCTCCTTAAAGACCCCAGTCCTCTCCTTCCGGGATCTCAGACCTCCAACCCTGCACTCCACCGTAAATCGGCCATCATAAATCACCAAGGTTGTCTATTGAATTAGCCCCATGGCCAGATCAGATCTAGCACAATTGCCTAAATGCATTATGTTGATTAATCGGTTCTGGTTGCAATAATAAAGTAGTGGGCAGCACAGTTAGAGGAGATCTTTGTCTTTTTCTTGCTTTCTTTGGTCTTGCCCAATAAATACATCTTCCCAGATGAAGACTGAATGAAAGTTTGTTTCCAGTCCTTTTGTCACTGACAATCTCTCCCTCAGCTCTCATTTTTTGATTGTGCTTCCATCCTTTATACGAGGGCTTCCAGTAAAGGCGCTTTCTACTTACCCCTTTCTATCTCATTATCTTCTCCCCATCTTCTGATGTATTGGCTTTTAGGAATGAAAAACTGTGCCGAGCCACCAAACTGTCCATTCTAATGATGAAAATCCCATTGTTCCTCTGTCTTATCGCAATCTCTTCATCAGTAAAAAGCGACTCACATGCTGCCCGTGTTTGGAGGAACGCTATTGTGGTCTGAATACGGCTATAATTACCGCAGAGTTTCTGGAGAAGAAAACTAACTCTTTTCTTCTGAAGAAACACTGTGAATTTGTGCCAAAAAGGAATTAAATTAGTCGAAAAATACTGTAAGGAACAATAACGTCAAGATTTATTCTTTCTTCCACTACTTGAGCTTAGTGGTTCTTAAAGTTGGAATCTTGAGATACTTTCCAGAAATCAAACAAAACATAAGGATTGTTTGAACACCTTCCAGTAATTCTTTTTAAGACACAAATAAGTAGGTAAAAATTGGTTCAGTAGATTATGCTGTTTGTGCAGAGCAGCTGTCAGTTAGGGTTAGGGTTCGATTCCCTGTCATGCCCATATGCTGTGGTGTACATCAACATATCTACTTCCCGCTGCCCCACCCGGGTGTATCTCCACACATCAAGCTTCATCTATTGCCGTATCATTCATTTAATCATTCTTATCAGAATAAATATTTCCTTACACACATATGGAGCATGTCTGTTACATTTTCCACAATCTGTTCGTCAATCATTTGGCAGCCAAGCACCGAGGCTAAAATCCAACATTTTTTTCCAAAGTATTAATCTCTCAGCTGACCCAGAGCCACCATGCTGTTATACTAATGAGCACTGCACGTCGTGGCAGAACTGTGAGAAACAGGCCCGTATCTGCACTGCCATCACAAACAGACCTCTCCCTCTGTCCAAGTCTCACAGTACTGATGCTGTTTGACTGATTATGCTTTTTACCATAGATGTCTGGCAGGAAACCAGAAGTATCTATCTGCTGAATCAAAGCTTTTAAACAGGACCTCTTTCTTCATTGTATAAATGTGGCTCCTTTGAGTAATTATATCGGTCCTGTTCACTTTTTCTTCTCAAAACAGCAATTTCTTTTTATTTTTCTATTAAAATTCTGCAATAAAAGGATATGGTCAAATAAACAGCAATAATGAATATTGAAATTTTATGTTTATGTATGTATTCTTGGATAAAAAGAATGAAAATCAGTTCTTGTATTAAGCAGAATATATATATTATATATACTGTGTATATATA